TTGCCTTTTCTTTCTTCGCCCTTTGTCCCCCTTTTGTCATCTTCACTGCCTCGCTCTCGCGCCTTGTCCTTGGTTGCTAAGCAGCCCCTCTAGTATATAAGGACCCCCCTAGGCGCTCCCTAGTCCCCATCTCGACCTCTTGGTCATTGGGACTAGGTGAGTGACCATAGTGTTGTATCTCTCTTCGATTGCTAATGTATAACTTGGTCATTGGGACTAGTCTGTCGCTATCTGCGTGAAGACTAGCTTCGTAGGTCTTGTGCCTTCGTGCCGGCCTCCGCTCTGCCCCGTCGAGTTTCTTGTTGCGTTTATCCCTCTTTCCCTCGCTTTCCCCCTTTCGGCTCCTCGCCGCTCGCCTACGGGGTCGTCGCCGAACGTCGACCCGAGTCTACGCGCCTAGTCGCCGCGACATATGACCCGCGTTCTCGCACCTCTTGCCTCTGCTGGTGAAACGGGAATGAGGATTGCAAGTGGGGATGGTATAGTCCGCCGCGGTCATCCCATTCTCGCAATGTACATCGGGGACTATCCCGAGCAACTTCTTGTCACTGGTTGCAAGACCGGTGAGTGTCCGAAGTGTCCTATTGACCGGAATTGTTGGAATCTGGAGAATTCACACTCTAGTATCGGTTGGATGGTGTAGTGGTAACACCTCCCAGCGCATATGGGATGACCTGGGTTCAATCCCCGGTCTGACCAACTTTTCATTGTTCAACAGGAATGATGTCGGCGAGTCCACAGACACATCCCGGCCCCTCCGTGACCTAGAGAAAATCCTTCTCGCGGTATCAGCAATTGACGAGGGCCCCCGGGCCTTTACGCGTGCATGTGCTGGGGCCGGAATCAAGCCCATTTGTCGTCCCGGTGGGCGGATCTTCCCTATACAAACATCTACCTCTTAGTGTTGTGCAAGGCCGGGCTCAAAGCCCTGAAGCCCCGGGTACCCAGCCCCCAAAAGCCCGGCCCAGCCCAGCCCGGCGTCGGGCTTTCAGGGCTTGGGGGCCCGCTTGAATGTCTGCAAGCCCGAGCCCAGCCCTCAAGCCCGGGCTTAAGGAGGACCTCTTTTTCTGACCGCGTAGGGCCTTGAACAGGCATCCGAGATGCTAAAAGGTAATTTAAGGCGGTGAAAAGTAAGGGTCGGCTCACAAAGCTTGACAGTGATGCCTCTCGGCGGACCTGGTGCAGATGGACGCGGCCGGTCGGGTGAGTGCTAGACCTGCCTGATTCAGGACTGCGGCGCTCACAGGGTTCGTACCGTCTTCTCTTCGCCAAAAGTAGCCATTAACATGCTGCTTACTCTTTCTTTCATGTGTAGCGAGGCCTACAAATGAGCTGAGGTACGTGTCAAATGCTAATTCTTCATGTATATGTGATAGGCCTAAAGCCCGGGCTTGAGCCCGACCCGACCCGGACCCAGCCCGAGCACACCACTAGGGCCCGGCTCGAGGGTTCAGTGAGCCTGAGCCCTCCAAAGCCGGGCCCTAGCCCGGGGTTTTGAGCCCGGCCCGGCCCTGCACAACACTACTACCTCTCGATCACCCCAGATGTTCTGCATCAGCTCTACCAAGGAGTTCTCAAACACCTCGTTTCGTGGCTGCAGGCGGCGTTCGGAGCTGAGGAGATTGATGCGCGCTGCCGCCGCATGCCTCTCAATCATAACCTTCGCCACTTTGGCAAGGGGATCTCCACGATGTCGCGCGTCACTGGAAAGGAACACCAGGACATTGGTCGCATTTTGCTAGGCCTTGTCGTTGGTCTCGAGCTTCCGAGTGGACACTCTCCCGCACGTCTCGTTCGCGCGACATGGGCTGTCCTCAACTACTTATACTACGCACAGTACAGCACTCATACGACTGACACCCTCCATCTCCTGGACCAGACGTTGGTCGAGTTTCATGACAACAAAGGCATCTTCGTCGATCTAGGCATCCGCACGCACTTCCATCTCCCTAAACTCCACTCTCTTGACCACTACATCAGGAAAACGTCACGGACTTGTACAGGTACTTGGGGTACTTGGCCAAGTACCTCAAGTATCCCAAGTACCTCAAGTACCCCAAGTCCAATGGACTTGGCCAAGTCGGGTGGGTCGACTTGGCCAAGTACCAGGTACTTGGCCAAGTCCTCCAAGTCCCTGTTCAAGTTCATGCCCAAGTTCACTGTGAGATGTATTGAATAAAGATGATATGCATGGAAGTCAATCAAAGGACAGCTGCTCTTGATCAAGGTCAAGTGTACAATATTTGTTAGCGGGTGCAGCGGCGGCAAAAAAAAAATGCCACCATAGGGAATTGAACCAGCGACCTGCAAATTGAGTGTCTAACACAACATGTTCAACCACTACACCACAGAGGCTCACACTGTAGCACAGAATAGCAGCAATATATAGCGCTCTTTGCTGGACTCCGAGAAGTTCTTCACCATCCTCACCTGTACCATAGCAGAACTTGGACATCC